TTCAGTCCATGCAAATACGAAACGAAGCTCAGTCTGAGGAGATAAAAAACTTTAATATCCTCATTAGATCCACAGCTGGCATATTCTACGTATATCTCGTGTTTTTAATTTGTTATTTGCCCTACTTCATTTGCAAGGCTGTTATTCAAATCTATGGTTCGAGTATCGTTTTAAAGAAACTGTATCTTTACTCACTGACTCTCGTGTTCCTAAATTCATCTTTGAACCCTGTCATTTACTGCTGGAAGATGAAACACATCCGACACACTATCATAGACATACTGGGAAAGATGTCTTGGATCAGCAATCGGCCATTTCGGATCAACTACAATCGGTCATCGAATGTCGTTCATATTGATAACTGATCCACTCTGTGTGGCTTAAAAAGACTATGCACGGTAATTGTTTATGACAAAGTGAAATGGGGACAAGCAAGATTGTACATAAACTAAGTTATAAGACCCGGTAGCCAAATAATTGCGTAGTTCCAATTTTAAGTACACAATAAATCGAATAATCTCTGGTGTGGAAGGGCAGGAACTAATTTTGGCAAGAAAGCTGGTTTTGTCATCGATAGATGGTGATATTGTAATTATGGTTGCAAAGGAGCTAGTATTTACGAGAGAAGAAAAAAATCGATGTTAATCATTAGTTAATGAGGGGATTTAAGACGAAAATGGATTGATCGATTTACTTGAAAGTTAAACAAACAACGAAAAGCATCGAGTTTGCCTCAACACTTTTGAGGTAAAATCTTAGTCGAAGCACAATGCTGCATATGAAAACGAAAACGGAGGTGGCTATAGAGTTATCGATTAGCCCGCAGATGTTTGCAGGTGGTTTTTGATAATACCGTGAGTTTTGCCGGAAAACTTAAAATTAAGTATGTTTTTTCTTGTTATCTCCTTTCGCTTAAATGCAAATAACAGATAGGTTTTGCAACCAACTTGACAATTCTTTACAATTTCAAAACAAATTAATGGGTCAATAAAAGTGAAATGTAGTGAAAACGATACTCTCGTAATAAAAGCGTTCAAAAGTTTATTTGTTCAGATAAGCGACGGCTACAATTTTGGGCAAATCTATGATGATTGCATGGCAATTTGAAAATGTCTTTCAACATCTAGGAGAATATTTGTAACAGCCTTGTTTTCGCCTGGCTTTAAGGAAAAACGGAAGGGTCACATTAAGAGTTTTGATAATTGCATCATACTATCAATACCGTGTCCCTAAATTGATCATCTTAGTCATTCTCATTACCTGCTTGCTTTAAAATTTCTTTAAATTACACATTAATGGGGGAGTTAAGGAGTTGACTGTTAATTGATATGAGCACCGTATACTACTCCAACATGCTATTTTTAGCCACTTAAATTACGTGCACTTAAATCTTCCTGCAAATTACCATAAACCAAGAAAGTACTATCTCGATCAGCATGGACACGCGATAAGAGAACTGTCGTAGTAAAATTCAGTCATTTAAGATAAAAGTTCTACGCTACCTGTGAGGGAGCTGTTCGCGTTAAGTGTCCCCACTGTCGCCAGCAGCTTTCTCCCTACCATCACACGGATGCTATTATTCCCTCAGGCCCGTATCCGTTTTGTTTTTATCAAGCTCAATTTCAACCCCCCGCCACCTCCACCGCCAGATCAGTTTTGGTGGGTGGAATTACAAGGTCTTACCGTGGACGGGTATGGGGCAGAGGAAGATGATCTCTTTCCAGATTATGTTCTACCTCCACCGCCTGCTGGGTGGCAAGCTTTTCGCCTCGGCCATCGTTAGCCTTATTTATTTCAGCCGTATTTACATTCATTTAGCTAAGTATATTCTACAGGTATTCCAAACAAAAAAACAAAAACGAAAAAAAAGGCTTATTTACTCCCCATATTTAGTCACAACGGCATTTTGGTGTTTTATGTTAGCAACCTTAACCATATATCCGCTTAAGAATATATCCACTTATCTAACCGCATATTCATAAATCTTTTGGGAGCTGGGGACAGCTCCGTCTAAGTAGGAAGAATTTGTTAAATAATAAAATTACAATTATAGTTAATCACAATATCGTAAGGGTTTCCTTGTACTGGTGTCGGAAAAAGGAATGGAAATATTATATTATTTTAAGTCATTTAATGCAAATTATAAAAAGGGCAGGTTGATTACTTCGTACTCCTTCTTAGTGGTCTTATCTTAAAGGCTGAGTTTGGTCACGTTCTTCTTGTGAGTTTGGTCACGTTCTCCTTGTGAGTTTAATCACGTTTTCCTTGTTGTGATCGTGAGGTTGACATGGAACTCGTGATGAGCCATGTTCCTAATTAAGTTAATTTGTTAGTCCAGGATGAGTAAATCTCCCTGGTAATAGGTCGTGTTCGACACCTTCTTGTCCCCAGAGGTAATTTAAGGTGTAAACAGGTGATACCCCTCATGTTTCGCATCCAAAAGCAATTTGGGGGCGGTACTTGTGAGCGCCTTTCTTCTTTAACTCTTGTGACCAAGATGTTGTTATGTAACAATCTTTAAAGGTGGTTTTCTCTTAAGATACCTTTTCAGGTATAAATAATACTCTGAACCAAGGTTATTTGTAATTTTTATATTATCGATCTCGTTTCTGTTCTGGCCGATCTCAACCGTAAAGATATGAAAATTAAGGTATAAATTGATTTTGTAACTGCGTAAACAACTCGAAGGTGCATACTCAGTATGTGGGAACTGCAATACGTAGTTCAGCGTGATTCCCTAGTTGAGATGGTACGATGACGACACAAGAAGATTGACGGCTTAGAAATGTCATCCGCAGTGTCACCTTTATAAGCGGAGACTCTAGTCCCCGTTGTATCAATTTGTGAAGAAAGAGAATAAAGAAGGATTAACCTATCAAACGACGAGTGTTAGAAAATTTACTTCTAACGCTATGGGGGGACTAAGGCGAGGTTAGTGTGGTGTTCGCCTTTGAAGTGCAAATA